ATCGTACTTTAATAAATATATTAATAAATATTTTTTAATTAAACTTAAAAAATTTAAGTTTTATATTGAGCCAAAAAACATTCGGAGACTTTTGACGGGGTCTGTATTTTTTAAATAGAAAATTAATCAGTAAGTTTTGGTAATATTTATGTTATATTTTTGCAAATAATATTAGGTTTTTATTATTAATAAAATTTTAATATTTAATAAATTTAATAAATAAAATATGTCAATTTTATATACTTATTTGACTGAATTGATATTAAATTAAGGCTAATTCAGGCTGATTTATAATTATTTAAATTCTAAATTAATACTAAATAATGCTAAATTGAGGTCAATTTTAGGCTGATTTATAGTTATTTAAGTTCTGAATTGATGTTAAATTGAGATCAATTTTAAGCTGATTTATATATGAATTTAAGCTCTGAATTGATTCTGAATGGCTATGTCTGATTGAAGTTGATCATAGTATATTGGTATCTATTTGTACTAATGCTTATTTATACTAATCAGAAAAAAATGATAAATCAGCCATAAATAGTATCAAAATCAGCCATTTGATTTCTAGCTGATTTAGACTATTTTGAACAGTAAACTTCTTCATCAACCTCTACTTCTGCTCCTACTCTAAAAAATCATTTACCATATATTAAGTAATTAAAAGTAATCACAGATATTTTTATATAAGAGTGAAGAGATAAAAATGCTGTAAATATTTTAATATAAATTATTTTAATATATTATATCATTATTTTTAATTTGTAAAATTACTTTAATATTATCACAAGATTTAAGGAAATTTAAAGAAGAAATTTTAGGCAGATATAGCTCAAAATATTAATAATAAATATGAAACTAATTTTCTAATATATAATACTAGAGAAAATTTTTTGTGTTAGTTATCAAATATGATATAAATAAAATGATAAAAATGGTAATAAAGTAAAAAAATACATTATCGAGTATATAAATTTTTACTTTTTTCTTTTTTATTTAGAACTTAAAGTTGTTAAAGTTATAGGATACTTAGAAAAAGAAAGGTAAACTTGCTCAAAAATATTATAAAATATTTAATACACATTTTTAGAATGCTTTTTGTAAATATAAAGAATTTTATATTTATATTTTAATAAAATTTTTAATTTTTACAATATATTTTTAAATATTTTATATATATATTTTGAGCACAACATAGAATTTGAAATAAATAAATAGGTTTGAGATCAATAAGATTCTCAAGGGATATAATAATATACTTATTATTAAAGTTTAATTATATTTTTTTTGCTTTATTAATTTTTTTTCTTTTATAAGAAAAGGAAAAAAGCAAGCAAAAACTTTTGATAAAAGAAATGATAAATACATACTTTCTTTAAAAGAGTTTATAGTAATAACTTTATTTTCTTTTTAGTAAAACCATCAGCTCTAAATTGTAAATAAATGTTTATTATAATTTTAATTTTTTGACAAATTTATGCTTTGTAATAACTTTATTTTCTTTTTAGCAGTAGTAACGCTATCGATTCAAAATAGTAAATACAAACTTTCTTTCTTTAAAAGTTTTGATATTTTGATAATTTATCTTTAGTAATAACTTTATTTTCTTTTTAGCAGCAATAAAAGTTTCAGAATCATCTACTCAAATTGATAAATACAAACTTTTTTTAAAAAGTTTTAATATTTTGACAAATTTATACTTAATAATAACTGTATTTTCTTTTTGATAGCAGAAAATTGTAAATATAAATATTCTTTAATAATTCATTATATTTTTAACGATTATTTTAACAAATTTATATTTATTAATTATTCTATTCTCCTTTTACCAGAATTTTTTTATTTTTTTTTATTTATATATATATTACTTTTTTTACTTTTTTTGCTTTTTTTTAATCATTTTTTTTATTTTTTTATTCTTAAAATACATTTTTTTTGCTTTTTTTTTCAACCATTTTTTTTTAAAATATTTTTTTTCTTTTTTTGTCTTGAGAAATGAGATTTTAAACACTTTTTAAGTCTACACATTTATTTTGAGTAGCAAGAATCAAATATCAGCTAGAAACTCAAATATTTTTAGGCTGTTAAGATACTGATATCCTTGTCATATAGCCTGGATATTATTTATAATAATAATAGCAAACAAGTACTAATTTTATAAATTATAACAAATCTATTAATTCTTTTATTTTTAGTATAAATTAATTGTAAAAAAATATTAATTTGTTAAAAAAAATATAGAATTTTTTTAATAAAAGTATATTAATTTTATTGTAAAAATCTTATAATTTTCAATGTAATAAAATATAATTTTTTTTATTATTTTACTTTATCTTAAGTAATAGATCTAGTTTGTATCAAATATTAGCTGAAAACTTAAATTTTTTCTCATTGTACAGCCTGAGTACTATTTATAATAATAGTAGTAAATAAGTACAAATTTTATAAATTATAACAAATCCATTAATTCTTTTATTTTTAGTAAAATCAATTACAAAAAAATATTAATTTATTAAAAAACATATAATTTTATTGTAAAAACCTTATAATTTTTAAATGTAATAAAAATATTTTTTTATTATTTTTATATATTATTAATTAATAATTCCTTATATTAAAAATAAAAAAGGATTTATTTTGCAAAAAAAAATCTAAAAAAAATCCTTATAAAATATAAGAAAATATGATATAAAATTTTATATACAAAACTTATTTATAATAATAAAAAATGTGTACAAAATTTTTATAGGATAATACTCTTCTTTATTAATAATAATGAACCTTAAATCTGTCATTTATAATATTTTTTATACTAGATAAATTACATATCAAAAGTATTTCTACTGATACTTTAATAACTAATATAAATGTATTTTTATTTTCTTACAAATTAAATTCATATTTTTATGATAATAGATAACACAAAATTAATACAAATCTTTCTTATCTTGATGATTAATGCTTTATAAATACAAATAGATCAATACTTCATTACTTTTTAAAGCTAATATAATTTATTATAACTATATATTAAAATTACTTTTCTTATTTCAAAAAAAATAGAATAAATATATTACATTGTCTTTTACTTTAAATCTAAGAATACTTTATATAGATATATATTTGAAAGGATACATAAAAATTAGAATAATTAGTTGTTATATTTATGCTAATTCAAATGATCTTAAAGATAAATATAAGTATAGACTCTTACAAAAACAGATCTTATTGACTTATTTGCTATTTATTTTAACACTTAATACAATTTATGCAAATTTCATAAAATTTCTACTATTAAATCTGGATTAGTAATTTTGATTTTTAAATTTGTCTATTATTAAAAAAGTTAATTAATTTATTATAGTAAGTATATTTAAATAAATAACTAATAATTACTGAATCTTTTGAACTAAAAATCTAGCAAAAGCATTTCTAAAAATTTTATATTAATGATTATTTTCTGTAATAAATTAAAAAAATATATATTAAATATTTAAAGTATCAAACTTTTTTTAAACTTTTACTTTGTATTTTTTTTTAATTTGTATTATTAAAGCTATAAGTTTCATAAAAGTATTATCTTTTATAAAATATTTTGCTTAAGCTAAATTGCATTACTTTAAATTATCATTTTTATTATTCATATTGATTTAAATATACTGTAAATTTAACTTTTGAGAAATTCTGATTAATTTTTATAATAATAATTAGGAATAAATTTGATAATATTACTTTAAATATAAAATTTAAACTTTAATTTTTAAATATAAAAAAAAATAATTTGCAAATCTAATAATAAAATAATATATAAATAAATTTATAATTTAAATGCTTTATTTAAATATTTATTATATTTAAATTTTTTACATTTATTGTAATTAATATTTTTTTTTCTTATATTATATATGATATATTATTAAAGCTTTTTAATTCAAATACTAAGTCACTTTAACTTCAAATACTCTTTCAAATTCTTTATATTATTTTTTTCTTTTTAGTAAAAAAGATGTTTTTCAAGAAATTTTTGTGAAAATAAATTATTACAGATTTGGATTATTTACCATACCAAAACTAGTAAGACTATTTTTTTTTAATAATATTTTTTTTTGCAGAATAAACATTTAAGCTTAATTGTTTATTTATATGATTATTATAATATTTATTTTGAAAATATCTTTGAAAATTAGCAACTTAGCACTAAGTAAAATAGTTATATTATATTTACAAAACTTTTTAGAACTAATAATCTTAAAAGTTAATAAATAAAGTAATCAGCTTTAATGTAAATTATAAGGAAGAAACATTTTAAAATTAAAATTATCTAATTCATAATAATGTAAATCTAATTATTAATTGATTATTTTTTTTATAAATTATATATGCGAATCTATTCCTTATATAATGACCTATTTTATATAAATCTAAATAATATAAAGATCACGTAACTTTACTATTAATTTGAACCTATGATAAGTCAGTCATATTCTTCAAAAATTACTATTCCTTCATATATAACGTAGGCAAATTTGCCTGCATAAACATAATAGTATGTGAAAGTTTACAGACGAAGAGATAATAATTAAATGTTACTATAATAGAAACATATAATAAAGATTTCTCAGTCTTAATGCTAACTTGCACTATTTGTCCTATTAATAGAGGATACTTAATAAAATAAAGATTATATCCATGCAATGTTTACAAACTTACGATACTAATTCAAGTTATGTAAAGTATTGTGGATAAAGTATCTTCGTTATCTTTATTTATAGGGTCTAATAAAAAGCTGCAAAAGATATTAACATCGAATTGATTATAATAACGACAAATATAATAATGACAAGTTTTGTAATATGATTAATATGATTTGACATTTACTCTATCCTCTTTATCTAATTCTGTAATTTTAGAGAAATTTTGGCACCATCTTTCTTCTACTTCCTCTAGTAGTGTAAAAAAATTTAACAACTAGAATAGATATTGTTTAGTGTTGAAGTGTTGTGATTTAACACCTAATCTATAAATCAGAAAATTAAATGAATATTACAGAACTGCATTGTTAACTATTGATGGCAAAAAAGAAGACTTTTTCCTTTAATAAATAGTATTCCAACTCACTAGATTGCAAGATAAGTATTTGCTTAATCAACATGATATTTGATTTTTTCATGAGAATAATAAATAAATAAAAAATCACAAATCCATGAAATCAATACTTACAAAATTTTTTGAATATCTTTTTTGTAGAACATATACGAATTTTTTTTAACCTGTTGAATCGTCATCTTTGTAATCACAGAACTAATTGAAAAGATTGTAACTTTCAAAAATTCTAAGTATAATTAGTTAATATATAGTAGATGCAACCACACTATTTACTTACATTATTTTTTAAAGTATTTCTAAAATCAATCTTGTCAATTGCATCATCTCATAAATAAATAATTTAGTTCGTTTCCTGACATAATAATATTTAGGGTCAATATCTATATATATAAATATATGAGTATAAATTAGATTTTCTCAGTAATGTTGTAAAACTAAGATGCTTTATTACCTTCTTCATGATTAAATTTAAAAGATAGATTAGATGATAACAAATATAAGCTATGATTTCCTTTATTTATTTTTAAATTTACTGACTTTAATATTCAAATTCTATAGAAATACAAGGTCAGTTAATAAAAAGTAATATTGGAAAAAAGTTATCGTTATTATAGATTGCAAGGTATATAAAATACAACTATCTGATTTTCTTGTTCATCCTGTTCGCATTGAAGAGTGGTATCATGTACAGAAAAATAATCATTAATTTTTGCTCTTTATCATTGTTTTAAGGATTGAATTGTAATTCATTAAAAATAAACGTAAATTAATAGTTATAGTTAAAAAGCTACGCATCTTTACTTTTCTAATTGCTTCTTATTAGTAAAGCTTTTATATTGAACACTTCTTCACTCATAGTCCCATATACAGGGTTGGAAAATTTGTATGTATTAGGTAAATTTTGACC